GCGAGCAGGAATTCAGAGGCAATTTGTGTTACTATGTAGTGTGATATGAGAAAGGGAAGGGGAAGGAAAAGGATAGTGGTGTCTCCAGGAAAAGAAATCACGGTGCACATTAAATTTAAAAAGCTGCTCTATGAGAAAAGGGTCCTTTAAGTTTTAATACCAAACTCTACAAAGGTAACAGGTTGAACACATGCTCAGATTTCCTTGGTGGCAAGAGTTACAAAAGAGTGTCAGACACCCTTCAACTCAAATGTATATAAACCCCATAAATGCCCTCCTGAATCAGATCCCTGGCTCCATTCTGAGCTCCCAGGGAGCACCCCAAGACTGTCCTGTTTCTGTCTCTGTCCCAGAAGAAGGGCAGAACTGGGAAAGGCCCTGGGAAATGGCTCCGTGGTTTTGCCAGGTCTCCCAGGCAAGTGTGTGCCAACCTGACACTCTTCAACTTAAATGTACATAAACCCCATAAATGCCCTCCTGAATCAGATCCCTGGCTCCATTCTGAGCTCCCAGGGAGCACCCCAAGACTGTCCTGTTTCTGTCTCTGTCCCAGAAGAAGGGCAGAACTGGGAAAGGCCCTGGGAAATGGCTCCGTGGTTTTGCCAGGTCTCCCAGGCAAGTGTGTGCCAACCTCCTTTCAGTGGTGCCCTGTGATAGAACAAGGGGCAATGAGTGCAAACTGGAGCAGAGGGGGTTCCATGTGAATATCAGGAAGAACTTCTTTCCTGTGAGGATGACAAAGCCCTGGGACAGGCTGCCCAGAGAGCCTGTGGAGCCTCCTTCTCTGAAGACATTCCAGACTCAATGCATTTCTGTGTGACCTGCCCTAGAGTCTGTGGTGGTCCTGCTTGGGCAGGAGGGTTGGATTCAATGATCTCCAGGTGTCTGCACGTGGATGTGACTTGGTGATTCTGTGTGACATACACACACGGGCTGGGTTTTACAGCCTCACTTGTCTTTCCCGCCTCCTCCAGACCAAACGAACCTCTCGCGGCACCGCTGTGGATTTGCATTACTGGATTGGCAAGGACTCATCCCAGGATGAGCAAGGTGCAGCAGCCATGTATGTCACCCAGCTGGACAATGCCCTCAGAGGGAACCCCGTGCAGCACCGGGAAGTGCAGGGACACGAGTCTGAGACCTTCCAAAGCTACTTCCGAAACGGCATCATGTGAGTAGAGTAAAATACTCGACAGTGAGGTGGGTCCTGGTCCCTGGGCTTCCCTCTGATTCTCTCCATCCACTTTCCAAATATCTGAAAAATAATGGATCAGCACTGAAATTGGTCAAAATTCAAAAGAAAAACAAAACATTTCCATTTTCAGGAAGTCAGTTGTCAGCACTGGCACCGGCACCATGGCATTCTGTTCTACTGGTCCTTTTCCCAGATACCTGCTGCAATTGCATCTTAATCTCCCTGTTGTTCACCCTAGGGTCTTCCTTCCCCTCCTCCACACACTTTAGATTGATATGCCCACTCAGAGCACTTTAGATTAATATCCACCTAGAAGAGAAGTGCTGATTTGGCTCACACTGGGACTAATATTCCTGCAGTGGAAGGAGAGCTTGGCTCTGGACTTTTGCCATCTAAAAGCTGAATCCAAGCCTGTGGTCTTTGCTCACTTTGGAGTCTTTGCAAGGTGTTTCTAATAGTTGCCCTTCAGGACCTTTCCTGGCAATAAGCAGCTAAGTGCCTTACTTTTAGACTGCTGGAGAAAACAAATGAAAACCCACCCTTGGTCAATACCTTGTCTCCCAGTCTGGGTTTTGATACCTCTGTATTGGGAGTCTCCACAACCTCTCAGGATTTTCCTCAGGATTTTGGTGAGGCAGAAATTGTTTTTACTCTCATCTCACAGATGAGCAAAGGACAATGAAGGGCTAAAATTCAGACACACAAAAGCTTGTAGGTTTAAAAGTCTAGTTGGAAACTTGTCTGCCTTTGAAATCAGTGTGAGTTAGACTTCACCTTGGTCTAAACGACATGCCCAAGGTCACACAGGAAGTCTGAGGCAGGATGAGAAATGAAAGAAGGCTCTTTCCACACCTTGGTGGACTAATCAACCAGAGCATCCTCCTGTAGATATGTTAAACTGGACCAAACCAGTCTGAAGTACTCAGGCACACACCTGACCACACTTGCATTCTCCACCAAGCTATGATAAAATACATTCATTGCCCACAAGGCAAAAAAAGAGAGAAGACTCTCAGCAACTGCCTCTTTTCCCCATAAGTGGCAATTACATTGTGTCAATTGTTACTGTAGGGTGAACACTGGATCTGTTTTCTGAAATGGTCTAGGGTATGTGGAATTGGGTTAGACTTGCCTAAAACCCAGGAAGAACACTCTGGGACTTCTTTGGGGGACCATGTCCTCTCATGATGTGCTTGTGTCTTCCTGGCAAAGTTCATGGGAAGGAGGGGGTGGTGTCATGCAGTGCCAACAGCACCCATTGCAAAGTGGGTGCTCAAGAATGGAATAACAAAACTGAGAGATTGAACCTGGAAGTCAGTGTCATGTGCCTGTTTACAATTGCATTTTCTTCTGCTTATGGCAACTATTTCCCATCTAAGCTACTTTTAACAGAATAACTACTTTGCACAAAACCAACTCTTAGCAAAAAGTCTGTTTTCTGCAAAAATCCGTTTTATTTTTTAATTGGACATGTGTGGAATATTTCAGTTCTGAGAGGCCACTGCTATGGTCAGTGGGATTTTTGCTTTGATTGTGTTATGTTTCCATTGCCAACCCTGACCAGCCTGTTCATCCACACTCCCAAGAGGCACAACAGCAACACAGGATCCACAACAGAAGGACACTGTGAGGAGTCATGGTTTGACCAGGGACCACAACATTAGATCATTTGATACTCCATTTTTAGGACTCGGAGATTATACCAGCTCCAGATTTTTTTACCTGTCACCAAAAACTTGAGATGCTCTCAGAGGAGAGAGGGGAAGGTGTTTTCTAACCAGCTCTAACTCTTTATTCCCTGCTACACAACAGCTACAAGAAGGGAGGGGTGGCCTCCGGCTTCAAGCACGTGGAGACCAACATGTACAACATCAAACGCCTTCTTCATGTCAAGGGGAAGAAGCACGTGTCAGCCACAGAGGTAAGAAGAGCTGTTTATAGATCATTTCTCATTGCCTCTCCTCCTCCACCCATTTTTGACCTGGTTTGCCTCCTATTAGCTCATCTTTGCTCAGGGACCCCCACTGTGGGTTCATTTTCAAGACCTCCCCAGGGGGGTTGGAATTGCCCTGAGAGAAGCCATTTGGCTCTGGGAACAGCCAAGTGCTAGAAGAGTGACACGTCCCTGCAGACCAGTGTTGTGTCCCTGGGCGAGTTTGCAATGGTTGTGACTTGCCCTCTTGTTGTGTCCCCATAGATTTCCCCTTTCATTTCCTCGTGACAGGTAGCACTTTCCTGGGACAGTTTCAATAAGGGTGATGTTTTCCTGCTGGACCTTGGGAAAGTGCTGATTCAGTGGAACGGGCCCAGCTGCAGCATTGCTGAGAAAACTAGGGTGAGTACAGACCCTTGGATTTACTAGCAGTAATTTTTTGATGTCTGGAGGGGAAAAAAAAAAAGCAAAACAAAGCAAACAATTCAGCACTTAATGTTTGCAAAACAAACAACACATGAATTAACAGGGAAGATCATGATAAATCATCTACTTGCCCATCCACTGGTATCAGAGGGCCAGGGAAGTGCTTTGCTCCACTTCAGTCCTGGCCTCAGCATGTTTGTTATGGAGAGCTGTGAGGACATCACTAACTCCATCTCCAGGGGGGCACCCAGCTCCCTCTGGGGAGGTCCATCTCCATCCTTCTGTTTTCTGTAGTTTGCAGGATGTAGGACTAAAAAAGTCAGCAGTACCAGCAGGTTTAGCTGTGGTAACTACCCCATGGGTAGGTGAATTTTAATTATTTATTTTTTTTACAGCATCACAGGGAATTCCAGCTTGGTCAGTATGAGACAAGCAGGAATACATAACCCAGATGTTGATAGGTCAGATCCATAGCTCTTAAGGCACTTTGCAAGGGGATCATTACCTTTATTTTACTGGTAGAAGAACCAAGGTATGGAGATGTAATAAAGCATGATACATCAATGGGTCATCAGCAAAGTTGATGGCCAAACTCAGCCAGTCTTTGTACACATTGAAGGCAGGTGGGTCTGTTCATCACATGGTGGCACCTGATGAGCGAGGACAGAGAGAAGCTTTGTAGGGAAGGTGGTTTTCCAGGACACGAAGACTAGGGGAAAAATGCAATGGGGGGTGGAAAAAAGACAAAGAAACCCTCAGGAAAGAGAGAAGGGGGAGCAGGTAGAGAGAAGGCTGCTGTGAGGAACAAGCTCTGGTTCATCTCAGGCCTGACACTCAAACAGGTCATTTCCTAGGTCTAACAAAGAGAGGCCCCTTTCAAAGATATTGTGGGAAATAGAATTCAATGGAAAATGGAGACTGCAGCCTCATTAGTTGCTTGGCATTTCACGCTGCTTTTTTTTCACAGAAAACATCCCCCTTTTTTTTGAATACTGAAAACATTTAAATGTAAAATGCCAGCCCGGGGTCCCTCAGCTCTGCAGCATCCAGCCTGGTTCTCCCCAGCGTGCCTGCATCTCTCTCCCAGACCACTTCAGCAGATCATTGGACCTGCTCATGTGCAGTCACAGGGAGGCAATCCCTGTTGTGCCTGCCACATGCCTGTGCCCTGTGGGAGGGAGCACCAGCAGTGCCTGGAATGAGCAACACTTTCCTGAGAGTTAGTTAATAAACGGGCACTGCAGGCACATCCCTTCTGTGTTCTTTTTAACAGCGGGATTTGGAGGAGGCTGGAAGCTTTAGAGAGTTGTCCTAGTCTGGCTGGGAGTGTGGGTGCTGAGACAGTGCTCTGGGTGTGAGGGTTGCTGAGTGCATGGGGTGGGTCGGGGCTGACTCCCTGCGGGTGCCGGTGCAGGGCCTGGCGCTGGCGCGGAGCATCAGGGACAGCGAGAGGGGCGGGCGGGCGCAGATCGGCATCGTCGACAGCGAGAGGGACTCCCCGGACCTGATGCAGATCATGAAGATGGTGCTGGGCGAGAGGCGAGGGGAGCTGCGAGATGCCATCCCGGATGCCAAAGCGGACGAGCTGCAGAAGGCAAACGTCCGGCTCTACCAGTAAGTCCGGCGGAACTTACTGGTCTCCGGTGGGATCATGGAATGATAGAGCGGTTTGGGGTGGGAGGGACCTCAAAGATCCTCCAGTTCCAACCCCCCTGCATGGGCAGGGACACCTCTCACCAACCCAGGTTGCTCCAAGCCCCATCCAACCTGCCCTTCAACACTGCCAGGGAGGGAGTGCCCACATCTTCTCCCTGCAAAGTCATCATCTCAAGCCATCCCGTAAATACAAATACAGAGGGAGGAAATTTGGGGGGCAGCTCAGCATGGGTGGAGCAGATCGGCATCGTCGACAGCGAGAGGGACTCCCCGGACCTGATGCAGATCATGAAGATGGTGCTGGGCGAGAGGCGAGGGGAGCTGCGAGATGCCATCCCGGATGCCAAAGCGGACGAGCTGCAGAAGGCAAACGTCCGGCTCTACCAGTAAGTCCGGCGGAACTTACTGGTCTCCGGTGGGATCATGGAATGATAGAGCGGTTTGGGGTGGGAGGGACCTCAAAGATCATCCAGTTCCAACCCCCCTGCATGGGCAGGGACACCTCTCACCAACCCAGGTTGCTCCAAGCCCCATCCAACCTGCCCTTCAACACTGCCAGGGATGGTGCAGCCACAACATCCCTGGGAAACCTGGGCCAGTGTCTCTCCACCCTCAGAGGAAATAATTTCTTCCTAATATATCATCTGAATCTCCTGTCTGTCAATTGAAAGCCTTTCCCCTTCATCCTGTCAATCAATGCCCTTGTAAAAAGCCCCTCCCCAGCTTTCCTGTAGCCCCCTCAGGTACTGGCAGCTGCCCTAAGGTCTCCCTGGAGACTTCTCCAAACCCCATCCTTGCTCACAGCAAGTGCTGTGAAGCCTGACTCTGCTGGGTGACTGTCTTCCAGTGTCTACGAGAAGGAAAATGACCTGGTGGTACAGGAGATAGCCACCCGGCCCCTGACACAGGATCTGCTCCAGCATGAGGTGAGAGAAAGGCATCCGCCCTTACAGTGATGAGAAAAGGGGTTGGTGGCTTGCTTTGTTTTCTGCTGAGGACCTGTTTCAGTGGGATGCCCCATTTCCCAAAAAATTATCAGCCTATTGACCATTCAGATTTCTCAGGTGTCCTCTGGAAGCAGGACAGCTTAGCCCTTCTGTAGACTCAGTGGCCAGAAGCAGATGGTACATTGAAGCTTTTCTAACAAGAGATGGCAAATTGAGCCTCTCAGTCAAGGGTGCTATTAACTTGGCAGTCAGAGTCAAGAAGAGCTGCAGGCCAGGAATAAATTCCAGATGGGAATGAGGCTTCTTAATACCTCATGTTCAGGGATAGCCCTCCTTCTGCAGAATGCAGAGCAAATAAATACTCAGCTCACAAAATCAGGGAGATGTGTTTTCCTGCTGTTGCCAGTGGCTGCTCTCAATGATCCCCCCTGGCAGGACATTCCTTACAGACCTTCTGCCCAAAGGCTTTGAGAAGACAGAAGCTTTCCTAATACCCTTCTGGCTAATATTTGCAGATGATTGCTCATCCTTAGTTCTCTCTCCCATGCTGCAGGGCTCCAAGCTCCCTTCTTCAGCCTGGTGGCAGCCTCGTTACATTTCAGTTCCCTTTTACAGGCACGTGAAGCTTTTGCTTTTCTTGCCAAAGTTCAGACTGAGGAACGAGAAGCCTTTGGTCCCACAGTGGGTTGTCAGTTGGGAGCACCAGCTTTCTGCAGTGGGGACAGGCTGCCTAGCAGCCATCTCACCCCCTGCCAGTTCAGGACCCTGCCACTTCCACAACGATGCAATATTTTTAGCTCCAGAAGTGGGGCACAAAACATTGGTGCAGAAGATGTCTGGTCTGGGCTTCTCCTGCTCCTTCAGTAGCAGATCTGGCATAAAGGAGCATCACCATCAGCAGGCTGAGGATGCTATTTCAGCGTCCACTTCTCCTTGAGCCATTTGGAGCTGGGGTTTCTGCTTGTTTGGGAGCATCTCTCATGAGCTGGCAATGGCCGGTTTTGAGCAATGCCCAAGCAAAATACATATTTTAACCCATTACAGTTCAAGGGCAGCTGTCTGGGTGTGAAGTCAGCACACCCTGCATTGTAGGTTGGTGGTAGCTGAAGCCCATTCTTGAACCACAGTAAATCCACCTGGTGTCTCTGCCTAATGGTTGCACCAGGATTAGGGCTCTGCAAGGCAAGGAAATGAGCTAGATCTACACCTAATATAAACCTTGAAGAACTATCCAACCTGAGTAGGCAACAAATGGGGACGTTTACCTGTGCAGAACTTTTTACATCTGATTTTTTTTTTTTTCTGTTTTCCTTCAGGACTGCTACATTTTAGACCAAGGTGGCTTTAAGATTTATGTCTGGAGAGGAAAAGCCTCCAGCCTGGAAGAGAAAAAAGCAGCTTTCACTCGAGCTGTGGTGAGTTGTGATACAGTGCAAACCATGTTGTGGGAGGTTAATTAAGTGCTAATCTAGATCCAACCACTAATTACAATCCAGTGCTGGTCTTGAGGACCTGGCCTGTGTAGTAACAGATAAGATGAATGTCTAATGGAGGCGTGATGACATAAATCCAAAATTGTTAATCACCAAATTGCACTAGAAGTATGACTTGTCACTGTAACTAGGAAGAAATTTATTTATTTTTTTTTTAAAAAAAGAAGTATAAAAGAAAATACTTTGTTACACAGTAAATGGTGGACTTCCAGAATCTGTTGATTCAAGAGATGGTGAAGGCAGAGAGTATCAGCTGGTGGGATTAGACAAAGTCATGGTCAACAGGTCCATAAACAGATAATAAAAGGGCTCTTATATCCTCTCTAAGATCCATGGCCTGACATTGTGAGTGCTGGGGAGAGTGAAGGGATCACTGCAGAGAGCAACAAAGCTTAACATCAGATGCTTTTTAGTAGGCAGTCACCTCTGCAAATTCTGGCCGTGAGCTACACATGTAGAGCAAAAGGTGTCTCTCTCTTTCGGTGTGGCAGGTGGGAGGGATGGGAAAAACCATCTGCTCTGCTTTTCCCTGGGGATAGTGTGTGGCTGCAGTATTGACAGCAGAAGAGGAATGCTGAAAGCCCACAATCAAGCTCCTTCCCTGAACAGTGGCTGTCAGCACTGAACCTCCAGGTCCTCCTGGAACCTGCTGAGATAAACACAGGAGCAGTTCCCCAAAACTGAACACCATGGCAGAACACTGACCATTATCTTTCCTTGCACATTGTACCAAACACCTCTGTTGAAGTGTTTTGTTTTTTTTAACTCAATAGTAGCTCTATTGCAAAGAAATAATTTGTTTTTAGAGAAAAAAGAAGGAAAAACCCTAGAGATTTGTAAGAGTTTAGTCCCTTCAGAACACAGATGATGCTCTGGGGCACTTACCTGCTTCCATCCCTTCCCTGTGTTAGCACACATGCTCTCAATCATGCTACAGGGAGGACAGTCTTCCTGTTTTAGAGAGGGGCAATGTTTTTTTGAGAAAAGCAAAAACCTCTTGGGTCCTGGGCACACCCCTTCACTGCTCCCACCCCTCCACTCCCAGATCCATCACTAGGAGCCACCTATCTGAAACAGAGGAGGAGGAATTTCATTAGACTTCTTGAGTGAGGTTTTTCTTCTAAACTAAGGTGCCATGAAGAGAAGTTCAGGATGTCATCCAGGTGACCAGCCTCCAGGGGCAGGGTTCCCCCAGCCACAGAAATAAGCATGAATGCTACAGTGAGAGTTGTAATCACCTCCATGTATAAGTCTGAATGCAAGTTTTGGGGTGAATCTTGCCCTTGGTCATTCCACTGTGTGCAGCAGGGAACGTTCACTCTTTGGGCTGGTTCAGGTCCCCATCCCTCTTCTCAGGTCTCTTGGTGTGTCTCCAGTAATAATGTCCTTGTTCAACCCCACTAGGGCTTTATCCAAGCCAAAGGCTACTCTTCATCCACCAACATTGAAGTCATCAATGATGGAGCAGAGTCAGCCATGTTTAAACAGCTGTTCCAGAGGTGGACAGAAAAGAATGAAACCCAAGGACTGGGCAAAGTCTACACTACTGGCAAAATTGGTGAGCATGTTTGTCCTGGACTTGGATTTCTTACCTCTGCTAAGCAACAGCTGAGGGAACATCACCCACATTAACTGTTTGCTGCCTTCAGTATCTTGAAAATCCACTGCACATACTTTTCATGCCTTGCATTTCCCACCTTCTTCAGTAGATGCAAAGGACTCAGGAACTGTGCAACATTCAGGACTCCTGAGGCTTCTTACATGAACCAAACTGCCACTTATTCTGAATGTAAATATTGGCAGAAGATCACTCTCTTCTAAAAAATTGTCTGCAACACTTCACAGTTGCAGAAGCTCCTGATTTTCTTTATAAAGGGCCAGTGCTGCACCTGATAGGGAAGTGTTGAACAACATTCTGCTTTCATTTACTCTGGCATCCACCCAAGTCCCTCCTGACGTCAATGGAATTACTCTGTATGTACATGGGGTGTAGATGGTGCCTCCATTTATCACCCTGCTGAAGTGAATTAACCCCAAAGAGTAAACAATGCCAAAGAGAGAGAGAGAACTTGCTGATGAATGATGGGGTGGTGGCAGAGTTACCAAATGTCTCCGTCAAGAGTAGCTTGAGAGCCACAAATCCCTTTCCCTTGTAAGTTCTCTCTTTTTTCTCCACCTCTGTCTCCCTCCATCCTGTCCATAAATTCTCTCTTTGTCACGAGCTGGAGAAATGTAGCCATTTTGTTCCTGAAAGCACCATTTTAAATGGAGAGAACTAGGTATAGATTTGGAAAACAATTCTGAATTTTCAGTTGGGAGGCAGCTGATAGTTTTACCAGCCAGTTACTGGAAAGCACTGTCTGGCCAGTTGCCAGCCTGTAGCAGATCAACACTGGAGCGTTGATATTCCAAGACCAACCTTGGTTTACTGGTGGCAAGACTGGCTTCTTGCCACTTGGGACCAGGATTTTCTCAGGTGTACGATTGTGTGTGTGCGTGCATGAGGGTGATGCTGAGGGTTTCTATGTTCTTGTGCATTCACTGGGTTCTTGTTTTCCTCCTGCTGGTGCATGCAGCCAAGGTGGAGCAGGTGAAGTTTGACACCACTCAGCTCCATGCCAGACCAGAGCTAGCTGCTGAGCAGAGGATGGTGGATGATGCTTCCGGGGAGGTAGAGGTGAGAGAGCTCCTTTTGCTGGCAGAGGATGCAATAACCAGCATGTTTCCAAGCATCTCTGCCTTTTCACACACAACAGCTGTATGAAGAGGTGAAGTTGTGCCCACCTACTGTGCTTCCACCCCAGGAAGCCTGGCTGCAGCCAGAGCAAAGTGCTTCTGAACTCCAACTAGTGCAGAAGTTGCAGCAGCTCAAGGGCATTTCTCCTCCAGTTTAGCAAAGCAGTCACCAAGGTGACTCTTCTCCTGCCACGTGTGTGGGTCATGAGACTGATACAGTCAACCCCCCTTCTCACACCCTCTCCCAGTCAGGTCTGTATCAACCAAACTTGTGCAGAGTAGAGGCCTCTGTCCCATTCTTGTGGCCTCCCATGGAAGATGGAGCTGGTTGAGACAGGGTCTGTGGGGTTGAGAGAGACCTGGGGGCTTCTCCTCCACGAGAGCCACTGGCTGCTGGAAGTCCATTAATGGGACATATTGTGACAGTCACTGGGGAGACCTGACTTTGCCAACAAGTACTTAATCAAGCTGGGGGAACATAGGCTGGCATCCAGGAGAGAGAAGGGTCATCCTTCCAACTGAATATTTGAACGTCAGTGCCCTGCTAGCAAAGGAGCTGTGCTCTGCCTTCATGTTGACTCCACTGCTGCTCACCAGGGTGTTTCTTTCACCAGGTGTGGAGGATTGAGGACTTGGAAATGCAGCCAGTGAATCCCAAGACATACGGGCAGTTCTATGGGGGTGATTGCTACCTGGTGCTGTACACCTACCTGAGGTCAGGCAGGCCTCATTATGTCCTCTACATGTGGCAGGTAGGTCAAGCCAAAGCAGAAGGGACCACGCTGTGTCTGCTGGAAGCCTGAACTTGAAAGAAGCCATTGCACGCAAAAAATCCCTGCTCAGGCATCCAGAAGAACTCAGAAACCTTTTACTCACCAGTTGCCCCTTGCAAATAACCCAAGCTGTGCTCTGCAGGCAGCGTGGGCACTGAGTTCAAGCTGGCATCAGGGAGAGAGCCAGCAATGTCAGACAGACAATTGAGACCCTTCCCCTCGTCTCCCTGCCCCAGGGTCGCCATGCCTCTGTGGATGAGATCACTGCCTGTGCCCTCAATGCTGTTGAGCTGGACAAGAAGTACGGGGACGAGGCCGTGCAGGTGCGGGTGACCATGGGCAAGGAGCCCACACACTTCCTGGCCATCTTCAAGGGCAAGCTGATCGTTTACGAGGTAACGTGGGGCCGTGGGAGGTGCAAGCACCAAGAGTGGCTTGGCAGTTGCGACGGAAGCCCAGAAAAATGGGCTGGTACTCAGGAAAGGAGCCTGCCAGGTCTGGCAGATGGAAGTGGTGGAACGATTCTGCTGGCTTCCAAGTAGGCAGAACACCTTATGTGTAAACAGTCTTGGACTGATCCAGACTCACCTGTCCACCCCTGAGCTCCTGTGTTAATGTGTGATGCTCTTTCCAACCGTATCCCCAAATATTTTGCACAGTTACCCTGAGACAGTCCCTCTGTGAATTACAGACACCACTAGACAGAGAGGATTGCCCCAAATACCCTACAAACAGTTACGTGGTTTGAATTGTCCCTGTCTGAATGCTGTCACCTTCACTACTAACCCACTGCACGTGCTGCTCTGGCTGCTGACATCTGTGGTGGAGACACTGCAAAGGGCTGGGGAAGAAGGGGTTTGCCCTCAGGGTTGGCCTCACCATACAGCTTCCATGGCAGATGTTTAGCTGAGCTGAGAGTTCAGCTGCCTTGCCCAGTGGACATGGCAAATGCTTTGCAGACACTAACGTCTGCTCATGTTAAACTTGACCATCTTGGCAGGAGCTGGTCAAGACAGAGTAATCAGGGAGAAATGTGGACGTCGTGTTATTGGGGTTTTATTCTGACCTAGAACCAGAAGGTGTTTGGTTCTCCTTAGGTTCTCCGTGCAGGGCCATGGTCTGTTGTTGCTGCAGGTGTGAGCCCCAAAGCCTTCTTCCTCCAACAAGTTGCACCAGGGGTCTGTGTGTCCTCCTCACCTCCCAGTGCCATCCTTCCCTCCCTCTCTCTCCTGGCAGGGAGGCACGAGCCGGGCTCAGAGGAGCGCTCCGGAGCCAACCACCCGCCTCTTCCAGGTGAGGGGCACGGATGAGATGAACACAAGGACCACGGAGGTGCCAGCCCTTGCAAAAAAAGATTGCTGCGTGCGGACCACCAGCCAAGTCTGCTACCTGTGGTGTGGGAAGGTGAGACAGCAGCGAGTCCAGGGGAGCTGAAATTCTTGATGTGGGGCTTGAGTTTCCTACCTCCACTGAGCTGTGGAGGGGTGTCCTTGGGCAGGTGGCCTATGAATTTCAATGGAAGAAGGTGCACCCAGAAGACGACTCCATCCGTGGAGGGTCAGCGGTAACACAGCCCTCCCTCCACAGAAATAACCCATCCTGGGGTTCACCTCACCTCATTTTAGATGTTCATCCAGCTTTCAGCTGGACAAAGCACCGCAGGTTCTCCAGCTGTAAGAAATGAGCCAGAAATAGAGGATATTCATTTCTTCTGGGTTAGTCGTTGTGTTTCAGGATGAGATGGTAGATCCATCCAAAGCAGGATGGTTGCCTAGAGAAGTTGCAGATGTCCCATCATCAGAAGAGTTCAATGCCAGGTTGGATGAGGCTTGGAGCAAGCTGGCCTAGTGAAAGATGTCCCTGCCCATGGAGGGGGATTGGAACTAGATGATCTTTAGAAACCCCTTCCAGACTAAACCATTCTATGATTATATGAGTGTTGCTCTAGATGCCATTGGCTGCACTGAATGTCCCTTTCAAAGGCTACAAATGGATTCTGAGTTACCAGCTCAGATGTGACCCTCAAAAGCATTCAAGCAGGTCTAAAACTCTCCAGAAGGAGGGTAGGGCCAAACCACCTTTTCAACACAGGTAAGTTTTGCCAGTCTGTCCCCAACTCCACCTCAATCTTGTGTCCTGAACACAGGGATGCAGTGGAGATGAGAGAGAGATGGCAAAAATGGTGGCTGATATCGTTTCCAAGCGGGACAAGCACACCATTTTGGAAGGACAAGAGCCAGCAGAGTTCTGGGAAGCCTTGGGAGGCAAAGCACCTTATGCCAGTGAAAAAAGGTAACAGTGACCTGCTTGTTCCTCTGGGCTTAGCCAGGCAACATTAATCAAGGGATCTAAACTTTTCAGGAAGGTGATTAAGCACTTTGATACTGTGTCCTCACTAAAGGGAGCACCAAGTCAGGCCATCACCAAAAACTTGGTCAGAAACTACACCACTATGTCTCTTTCCTAGCTTTTGGGTCAGGCCTTCTGTGAAGTAGAAGCTCCAGATCCAAACTCTGCAGGCCTACCACACAGTGACTCAATCCCATATCTTGTCCTTAGGGCTACATGAAGCACATGCTCCATTTCCAGGCATTATTAACTTTATGGGCAGCCCCAGAGGATTCATGAATCTACATCTGCTTTGGAACACCCTGGGTTTCTCCAGCCCTCTGGGCGGGTGAAGGGTTCCTTTGCAACCAATTGATCGGATGTGAATGTCACCTGATAGCAGGCTCATCTCCACAAAGAAAGAAGGGTTCTGCTTTTGCCCTCTCTGGCTGGAGATAAAGTTACCTTTAAAATTGTGTAAATGGTTCAAGGATCCCCTGAGACCCGACACTGCCCGTCTTCCAGGCCCTCAAATGAGTGTTGCCATCTTCCCACCTCTTCCATCAAGGTCATGACAAGCAGTGCCAGGGCCCTGCAGTGAACCATGAAGGAAAGGTTTCCATCTCTCTTGCTTTTTCTTTCCCTGCCCGTGCCTGAGGAAGGTTTCAAGAGCCAACTGCACACTACCAGCCTCGCCTCTTCGAGTGCTCCAACCAGACGGGTCGATTCATCATGACAGAGGTGGTGGGCTTCTGCCAGGAGGACTTGGATGAAGATGATGTCATGCTGTTGGACACGTGGGAAGAGGTCAGCACTGACTCCCCCTTTCCCTCCTCCCCAGACATATTTTCAAACAGGTCATGGCTTAATTTGTCATTCTGAGTGAAACCAAGGGCAAAATGCCTTCTGTCCCATCTCCAAACCCCTTCACCGTGCTTGGTCAGACTAGCAGAAGTATGTCCAGTCCTTCTAACCCAGGAAAAAAAACACTGCCCTGCTTCAAAATGGGGGAAACTGAGACCCCTGGTCCATGCCATCCAAGGTGAGGTGAGCTGGACCTGCTCCAGGCTTTGCCAGCAGGTACAATAGGGTGGCACCCAGAAATCCTGCCCCTTGTTTTTCAGCCCCAACGGTGAGGACTTGCTTTAGACTGTAGGAAACTGACCCCAGGGTGTTTGCTGTCTGAGGTCAGACGAGGTTTTGGCCACACAAGGGCTGGGTTTAGCTACCTTCAAATGTACAAGAGCTGTTTTCTGAAATATTTGTGCTTTGTGCCTGTCTCTACAGCAAAATCCTTCCGGGCTAGGAGTAAAACTGGGATCAAGATCCCAGGTGTCTATTGGGAAACGACATTTCCAGTCTTATCTCTGCATCAGATGGCAGGAAAGAACAAAACAGCCATGTCTGCACAGGTCCTAACTCCTCCCTGATCTTCAACACCTTCTCTCCTTGCAGATTTTCCTCTGGGTTGGCAGAAACTCCAACACGTACGAGAGGAACGAGGCAATTGCCTCGGCTAAGGAATATCTCAAGACCCATCCAGCAGGGAGAGACTTGGCAACTCCAATAATCCTGGTAAAGCAGGGCTATGAACCCCTCAACTTCACAGGATGGTTCAACGCTTGGGACCCCTACAAATGGAGTGTAAGTTGCTGGAAGAGCCTGTGGGGTGCACGTGTGCTCAGCATATAGAACATGAAATTGTCCCAGGAGCTGCCTGGGGAAGAGAGAAATCCTTTCTCTCCTCTTTCAAACACACAGGCTTCAAGTAATTTCAGGATTACAGTGAGATTTGGGAATTGCTTGTGTGATCAGTGCATTTGGCCTCACTTCATCTTGTCAGGACCCAGCCTGGGACCCTGGTTGTCACAGAATGGTTGGAGGGAAGAAAGTGTGATGTACTGAACTCCATGCAGACCATGCACCAGCCAGCCTGGGGGGCTGGGAAATATTGGGAATAAAGGGCAATCTTGGAGGGGCTTTGGTGGTTCACAGAGGATGAGTTCATGGCAAAGAGCCAGGTGGAAGCAATGCTGCCAGGCTGTGCTCCTCAGTTCCTGCCACCCGATGGCACTGGTGGGCATGGCTGAAGGAAATAAGGAAAGAAAAGACAATGGGCATCAGGGATAAGCTCAGCTCCCTGGAGGTGTTTTACCAGACCCTTCCCAATGAGATCCTCCCTTCTCACTCCTGTTCTATTCTACAAACATCAGCTCTCAGCCGGTTCACAAGCAATCCCAGGTTCTGGTTGGACCTGATGATCTCAAAGGTCTTTTCCAACCCAAAATGATGCTGTGATTCTGGGTGCACAAAGGGGTGGAAGTGAAGTCCAGTGCTGGAGCCTGCAGGTGGAGCAGTGGGGCAATGGGTTGAGGGTCCTCAGGGGACTTCACACGGCAGGAAATTCTCATCCAGAGACATTTCATTTCCTGCTGCTGGGTTTGCATCATCTTTCTTTGCAGGCAGAGTGGTGCTGGAAAGCCTGTCTTGGCAGCCAGATTTGGATAGATAAGACAGCAACTCCCAGAGCACTGACCCTTAAAACAACATTGATACTTAGAACAAAGGTCAAAACTTGTTGTGTTTGGGTTTTTTTTCCTGAGGAACTGCTGAGAAACAAGGATACAGCTTATAAAATAAATGCCTCTAAAAATATCCCCTGTAGGCAACTTCAGTGACTGCAGACAAGCAATCACAACTGTTGACATCCCAGAAACATCTGGTGTGTTCATTGCTCAGTTTTGGGGCTGAATCTGTTTCCTCTGCAGTCCATGTGTTTGTGGTTTTTGTTCTTGTTGGGGAACCTTGTTGGATAATTCTGTTTAGAACTGACATCTCCTGGCTGCTTAGGAAAACACAGTCATCAGCTTTGCCAAGATACATTTACTAAACCCTTTTTTTTTAGGAAATAAGAGGTAGATGGTAATACCTGACACCAAATTACAAGAAGCCAGGGATTGAGGCTTTGAAAAATCTGTTGCTTTAGCTAAATTAATCAGGGAAGGGAAGGGGGAAAAATAATATAATTTTATCCCAAATGTTCATGCATCGCAAGATTTATTTAAAATTTAAAATATTTAAATCCAGCAGTAAATTATTTCACTTGATTTGCCTTCAAGTCTTTACATTTCCTGATTTTACCTGTTACTGTTCAACTGCAAAGGCTAAAGTCTGTTTGTTCTTGTATTCTCAAGTGAAAGCTCTGATCCTGGCACAGCCTCCTGGTTCCAGGAGCTGGGGATTGCAGGAGGCACCAGCTGCCACCACAGTGTGGGCACCACTGGGCTTTAACATCCATAGGATCTCCTTCTGCCATTAGAGAACGGGAGAATGTGGTCATTAAAGGTGCTTCTCACAACTCTTTTTACCTTTAGGATGGCAAGTCCTACGAGGAGATGAAGAACAGCTTGGGAGATGTGTCGACCATATCAGAGATCAAAGTGGTGAGTGGTTTCTCCACTGTGGGGGTGGGAAGCACCTGGGTTTAAACACCTCTACGTCCCCACCCTGTGGACATGAAGGCAAATCAGAGCTGTGCTCCTCTGTGAAAAACCAAGGGAGATGTGATTAATAACCCATAAAAACACCCAGATCTCCCGGGTGATCCAGATCTCCAGTCCTGCAGAGGCACCTGTGGGCAGCTGCTTCCTAAACCACCCCTGCAAACAAACGTGTGTGTGGCTGAAACAGTGATCAGATAACCATTGTATGAGAAGTTTGCAGTGCTGTGGCCCCTGAGAACCTGGACAAGGGTCCTACAAAGCACAGAGAGCACAAGGTCCCAACAGCCCCAAAAGTGATTGTCACATGAGATGGGTTCTGCCCTGGACAGGGGCAGGAGGAAGGAATTAGCAGGGGCTTTGACCCAGGGGAGATGGCAAAGTGAGGAAGGGGCTACACAGGTAATTTAGAGCTTTCAGACGTGATAGGTTATCTAATATCCTGCTGTTATCTTGAGAAATAAACAAAACTACTGTAAGTATCTCCAGTTATTTCTGAGGGCTCTTATTAGTCCTGTGCTTTTAGCAGCCACAACACCAAGATGTAACACTGATGGAGGTGCTGGACTCATGTTTTAGTTCTGACCTTCTCCTTGCAGCTTTGGTTCTCCAAAGCAATAGACTAACACGTAGTCCATGTCAGGAACAGTCCCCCCATCAGCAACAGAGAGAAAGGTCCTGGGATAACCCCCAAGTTGCTCTGCCAGAGCCTTGACATGCTTTCCTCCATTTGCCAGGACCTTAACAACATCAGCCTGAACAAGAGAACCCTCAGCACGACCAACTTGGCTGGATCAAGTGTGCCAAGTGCTTCCTCGGAGTATAAATCACACTCCAGCCACAGCAACAACTACAGCAACAACTACAGCAACAGCAGCAACCACAACAGCAGCCCTTCCCTCCTGCCCAACGGTGAAGGAGTTTACCCCCGGGAGGTGCTGATGGGCAAGACAGTGGATGAACTCCCAGAAGGCGTGGATCCCACCAAGAAAGAGGTGACAGCACTCCTGGTTTGATGCCTCTGTAGCTTCACTTGGAACTTAGTTATTGGCTGAGTGCACAGGTGCTTTAAGTTGTGAAGCCCTGCTGCAGGTTCAAGGAGATACAAGGTCTCATCAAAAAGTGGGAGCTTCATGTGAGAGGAAATTGTGGTAGTTTGATCCTAGTTTAAGTGTTTCTAATTAATTTATTTTTAATGGCAGAAAAATGACTTTTAAATAGTAATTAAAATATATATATATTTTCTTCAGAAAGTGTTGCCAGGCCCTGGCACAGGCTGCCCAGGGCAGTGGTGGAGTCACCATCCCTGGAGGTATTTAAAAGCCATGTAGATGTGGTGCTGAGGGACAGGGTTCAGTGGTGGGCTTGGCAGTGCTGGGTTAATGGTGGGACTTGATGATCTTAAAGGTCTTTTCCAACCAAAAGAGTCCCATGATTCTATGTTTGACCAATGTCTTGCCCCAGCAGGTCTTCTGGCAAAGGCCAGAGAGCTGATCTCAGCTGATCTCACAGCCATGCCCAAGTGCCTTGCAGCTGGGCTCTACGTGAGTGCTCTCCTCTACCCAAAGCACAGAGGAACACTAAACCTCCACTTCCCACAGAGTCATTCTCAGTGCCACTGATGAGCCCAATACCCACAAAACTTTCTGTCTTTCCAGGCCAGGGGGGAATGGAGTGAAGGGGAGATGCTTTCCCTGTGAATGGATACCTAAGAAACAACCCAAAACTTTGGCCAGTAGAACTTCTCCAACACACCATTAATTGTCCCAACCTCAGTATGATTAAGCAGGGACTAAATTCCAGCCAGGCCATGCTAACCCCTCAAAACTACAGTGTCCCTTTGGGCTGGTGGGCTTTTATTCCCCTGGTGCTTTGGGAAATGGGATGAGGAACAGCTGCTGGGGTGTTGCACTTCCCACCACGATGACAGGAGCTGCTGGCCTGGAGTCAGGGGTCAGCACTGGCACAGTGAGGAAGGGATGCAGCCTATGGAGGTGTCCCAGCCTCTGCCAAAGCCAAAGCTGACCTCTCCTTGCTCTCTCTTCCCACTGCAGTACTATCTCTCTGATGCCGATTTCTACGACATCTTCGGGAAGTCCAAGGATGAGTTCTACCAGATGCCCAAATGGAAGCAGCAGAATGAGAAGAAGCAATGTGGACTCTTCTGAGACCGCAGGGGCCATCTGGCATCCAGTGACTCTGGGACCAACCCTCACTCTCTGAGGAGCTGCAGAGAAGAAGTACAGACATTATTGCTCAGTGAACCCAACCCACCATCTCCATCAGGCCAAGCTCCTAAGCAGTTGCTCCAGCAGCTGCTGATCAGGGGGTGGCTCCTTTCTCCCTGAAAACCCTGCACCCAAGGAGGCAAAACCTTTTGCACTAACGACTTTGCAGGATGTTTTTGCCTCTTTTTTGACACTTTATTGCTGATTGCCATGAAGACAAGTGTGTGTCACACAACCTATTGTAGCCTCTTTCCTTTTTGTGAATCGCCTCATGCACAAGGTCACGATGTTCCTTCATTTGTAGAAGCTTAAAATTAAGCAAGACAAAGGCCACTTGCAGCTGCTATGGAAATTTTGGGTAGGGAGAAGAGTGGGAAGGCCTAGGACAGAGGGGGAGCCTTGGGTCCAGGAAAAAAGGTACTGGAGTAGCCAGATGAGTGATGGGGTGACTCATAGAGTGAAATTAGTGAGTTCAGACCCTTTTCAGCTTGCAGAAAAGCTGCTAACAACAGCAAGAATCAGTTACACACCAACATGCACAGCCCTGTGAGGGTAAAACAAATGAGAACCTGGCTTGGAAAACCCCAATTAGTTATTAGGAACATATTAGTTGATCTGTTTCAAGAGGATGAGATTCAGGGCTAGACACAGATTTTGGTTTTGACTGCCATACAAGACTGTTTTCTCATTCAGACAACATCTCCTATCTAACCTGGCCTCCATGGGCATAACGGGGTGATCCTAGGAGTCCATCTGCCTGCAGACCAGAGCCAGGAAGGTTTTGGGTATGACCTGAGGCAGAGTGTGTCCCATTGAAGGTTTTGTCAGGGCTCCACCCCTATGATGTCCATGGGGCTGAGAATGCCCGTTCTGCACTGACCGAGGGGCAGGAGGAAATGTTGGTTACCAAGGGACACAGCTGTAAATGAAAGGAGGAAACACAGAGGTTTAAAAACCCAAAAGATTTGATTCTGCAGCTTTGCTCCAGTTCCAAACTGATCGGTGATTCCAAATAAAGAGCCAGCAGCATCACTGGAAGTGTCCTTGATCAGTGTGTGGGGTAGGACGGCAGAAAAGTTCTGTAGGGCCACAGATCCTTCAAATACCTGGTTCTTAATGGGATTTAGGGTTTTTTTTTAAAAAAAAAAAAAAGAAAGAACAAACTGAGGAGTTGAGGCCCTCCCTATTCCCAACCACCACATAGCCAGGACTATTTGCCTCCCTATGCCCATGTACCCTGCCCCTGAGACCTCCCTCACTGCCCATGGTGGGTACTTGGCTGTTCAGCAGTTGGCTTTACTGCCCACCCTTGCTGCAGCCATGTGGGGATGGAGCTGAGGAGCTGCAGGCAGCTGAGGGCTGAGTGAAGAGCTCCCACCCACGCTACCCAGGACCATGCAGAAGTGGTGAATTGTCCCCATCTGGCTGGGCTGGAGGCAGGGAGGTCCAGGCAATGGGGTCTTCTGGACAGATCTTTAAGAACTGGTAGTTAATTCAAACAAGCCACAAGCTCCAGGTATGAAAAACCCCACAAGGACCAGTAGCTTTAAAAAACTGAAGCATGTCTATCTTCAAGTTCTCATGTGTTGCATTCAAGGAAGACAAAGAGGCAAATAATGACAAGAAATGGGACTTTTTCTAGATGTTTTTACCTTTAATAATCGTTAGTAACATAGTTGGAACTTCCAAATATATATTATTTTATTTCAACAACATTCCCTTAACTCTGTAGTTGTACTTGGGGGGGGGGGAAATAAAAAAAGTTACCCTTTGCCATAAATAGTGGGTTGCTGTTCCAAACACTCTGGTTGGGGTGGGTTACCTCTACAGTGCAACTGGGACCAGGCTAACACGTGCAACAGTTTCTACTGCCACTTCAAGGCCAGGTTGGATGGGTCTTGGAGCAACCTGGTCTATGGGAAACCCACACAGGGGGTTTGGATCTAGATAATCTTTAAGGTCCCTTCCAACCCAAACCTTTCTGTGATTCTCTGATTTCTCTGTGTTAAAAAACGACAGGTTTGGGTTTTGGTGGTTTTTGGTTTGTTTTTTTTTCTATAAAAACACAAAATTAAGACAGTTCTACTGCGTTAAAAAAAAAGACAGACAAGCCTTACTGTCAGTTGAGTGCATGTCCATTGTCATCAGCAAAAGAAACTCTCTGAGGTCCCTTTGAGCAGGTTTCCTTTGGGGTCAGAGAGAGAGAAATCTGCTGCTCGGCGGCTCCTTTCTCCTTCACAGGACAAGGCTTTGAGTGCAAAGGGACCTGGCTGGGAGCCAGGCAGAGTAGTGCTCACCTGTTTGTACTTTTTATTGTCATACAAAAGGAAAAGTCAAGTCAGATGACACGTTTCTTTGTAGTGCAGGTTTCTTGTTTAACCTGTTAGTAGAAAAGAGGAGAATCCTGTCCCCGTTCAGGACTTCATCCTGGGACAGATGGCAGAGTTCCCGAGGCTGCAAGAAGTCACCAGGCATCTGGCTCCTGGTTTCAGGGGTGGGAGGGATTTTATTGGGGTTTTTTTCTTGCAGTGATGTTGGGTGGTTTGTCCAGATGCCTGACCAAACCCAACCCAAGAGCTATACTCAAAGGGAGTCCCTGCTCTCTCGCTAAAAAGCAACGTTTTAAAAAGAGAAACATCACACTGAAGTGAACTAAAAACCACAGCTGGATTGGTGGAACAGGTAGAAAAGGGTTGATCTCAGCAGCAGCATTAGGATGTTTCCAGGAGAAGGTCGATGGCTGTTTCACATCAGGGGTCTTGTGGAGCACCACCACGTGCTGCTCCAGAGAAGGCACTGGGGATGTGGAGGGACCCTCGCGTCGGCTGAATTCCCTTGAGGTCTGTGACGGGGTTCACTGTGCCCTGCAAGAGCTGAGCTGCTAATCACAGTCCTGGATACTGACGTACACAAAGAGGGTGGAGGAGGAGTAGGGGTCTCCGTTCTTGGTCAGCAGGTGGATGTGGCGGTAACCTGGGAGCAGAGACACCAAGTGGCCTTTAGTCCAGCTGGAAAAACGTTTGCTGGCATTCACCAAGACCCTGAAACAACATCTCCCTGTCTCAGAGCATTTTGGGCTCAGAACCCCACAGAACAGGCAGGTCTGTGAGGCTTTTGGTAACAGATGGTGCCACAGGTGACAAGGGGACCCCTTCCCCAGAGCCAGCATCACCAGCTGCCCAAGAAGCCACTCTTCACCTTGCCCATACTCCAGAGAGAGGATCTGTTCTGA